GAAGCAAACAGAGCAATTGTAATAGATTCTGCTTTTCAAAACAGAACCAAAGCAGAATCTTCCTAGATGTTTAATTTTTGTATAACCTTCATATTTATACTTTTAGGACAGAATAACAAGAGTATTGTATAATCGTCATATCTTTACTTTTGTATAACCTTGATTATTTTTAGGACAATAGCTGCAATGTTTATGCAGTGTCTCCTGTCACACAACCCTGCATGATAAAAAAAAATGATATGATTCAGATTGAATGACCATTTTAAAAATTATTTGGTCATTCATCATAGAGAAGGTTTAGTTGTATATAAGATGTCATTCATATTTCTAGAAAAAATACAAAATAGTATTTTATATTTTAAAAAAGAGATGAATCTGCACGAGGGACTCTGCACCTTATTGGCTTTGTTTAAACTGAATCCAGCGAGGCTTGTCTCCTTGGAGTTGATGATAACAGCACAATCCATGCATATATTCACTCTCAGAACCTCATGGCAACCAGTAGAAGTTAGTATATTACAGATACACAACTAGAAGAGCTTTAAAAATACTTGAAAGAGATCAAATTATGCAGTGTAGTAAGCAGACAAGATCTGCAGCAACCTTCAAAAAGATTAAGATCATAAGCTGGTGAACATGAATGTATCCGCGTGTGGCGCTATATCATATGCCTCAAGGAGACAAGCCCTGCTTGCTTTGCATTACAATAATTTATAAAATCATGTCATGTGATCAAATCTGAATCATGTATTTCTCTTATGCACATTGGATGACGCGTTAGGGTGAATGGTTGGAGGTCACAAACATTGTTTTCTATGATTTAAAATTTGAACTACCTAAAGATTCGTCATGTTACTCTTTCCTTAATGGTGTATATATATATATATATATATTTGAGAGAGCCAATGTAGACAGAACAACCATCTACGTAGTTTCTTCATCTCAAGCCAGAGAAAGAAAGATCAAACAAAAATGTCTATTCCTTTCCATGCTCGTTGTAACAGTGTTCCCTCTATGCAACACCCACAGGCTGCTTATGTCCATGAGCAGTTGACAAGATTGAGATCTTCTGAGGCAGCCTCTTCATCTTCCAGCTCTTCTATTTACCAAAGACTAAGCAACCTTCAAGATTTACATGACTCTCTTGACAAGATGCTTCGCCTATCACTCACCAACAAGGCTTTAACTCAGGTTCAGGTTGAGAAGCTTCTTGATGGATCCCTCAGGATCTTGGATTTGTGCAATGTGGCCAAGGACGCTTTGCCTCATATGAAAGAAGGTCTCAAGGAGATCCAATCTATTTTACGACGAAAGCGTGGAGATCTATCAGCAGAGGTCAAGAAATACTTGGCCACAAGAAAGTTCTTGAAGAAGTCATTCCAAAAAGTACTCAAGAATCTGAAAGTGAGCGAAAACAAAGAGAGCAGTGATAAATCTTTGGTTGTGTTTGGAGAAGCAGAAGCCGTAACAGTTGGTGTCTTTGAATCCATGTTTAGCTTCATGTCCGGATCTAAGGCTTGTGGAAAATGGTCATTGGTCTCAAAGCTAATGAACCAGAACAAAGCTGCATGTAAAGCTGAAGTCAATGAGTTCACAAGAGTGGACTTGGAGTTCCAGTCAGAGAAGTCCTTGAAGATTGAAGATGTGCAGAACTTAGATTCATGCATTCAAGATCTTGAAGATGGAATTGAGTCACTCTCAAAGCCATTGATCAAATACAGAGTCTCACTTCTTAACATCTTATAGGTCATCGTGCCTATAAAATTTTGTACATTAATGGAAATGTTAATACACCTCTAAATGAGAATAGAAACAAACAAATATATATATATTTTGCCATATAACCTTTTCTTCTCTTGTCTATCTTTATTCATAATGATTGCTTAAATCTTTACTCGTAAAATAACCTTCAAGAAACAAGTGGTATTTCATGAAAGCAGCAGTGAAGTACAAAAACCTTTGGAAGAAATGTCTTGTGATGAGTAAAACCCACTGGTGAGTAAGGACTTGTTAGTTGTTACTTTCACCCGAAGAAACTAGAGACACTTGAATCTTATTGATTGTATTATGCAATTCTTGTTCTACAGTTAGAAGCCACAGAAAGTCTTTTTATTATAAATTGATACTCTGGCATACCTTGAGGAAGGCCTATGCATTGTCCCCTTCTCCAAGCAACGCTGTTTATGCCATCTTGATATGATTTCATATATTATCATCTTAATATATATTTTATTTGTCCACATATCAGTTGAAAATAATAAATGAATGTGCAGGAGGTGATGGTAGCAGCACAGTTCAAGCATATATTCGCTCTCAAAACCACTCTGTACCTCCAGCTCATGTCATTACCACTAGAGCTTTATACAAACATGGAGAAATAAGGGGGTTTGTAGTGTAGGAGGCAGACAATATCTGAAACAATCTCCAAAGTATTAAGTTTAAATTGTGCACATGAATGTATCCACGTTATATCATATGCTTCATTGAGCTGGAGGGAGACATTGCAGAAACATCGTTGAACCAACTTTAATTAAGATTCCAAATGTCTCACTTCTCTAAAGTTGTATATATATGTAAATCACTAGAGATCCAATGAAGACATAACAAACATCTTATAGCTCTCTAAACCTTCTCTGAATCTAAGCGAAGCTAAACCAGAAAAATGGCACTCTCTTTCCATGTTCGTTCTAACAGCTTCCCTTCAAGGCAACACCCTCAAGCCGCTCATGTCGATGAGCAATTGAACCGGTTGAGATCTTCAGAGGCATCTTCATGCTCTTCTATCTGCCAAAGACTTAGCAACCTGCAAGATTTACACGACTCTCTTGACAAGATGCTTCGCTTGTCCGTCACGCAACAAACTTTATCTCAAGAACAAATAGAGATGATTCTTGATGGATCTATCAAGATCTTGGATTTATGCAACATTTCCAAAGACGGTTTATCACAAATGAAAGAGAATCTCAAGGAGATAGAATCTATTTTAAGAAGAAAGCGTGGAGACCTATCGGCTGAGATCAAGAAATACTTAGCTTCTAGAAAGTTTCTCAAGAAATCATTCCAGAAAGTGCTCAAGAATTTGAAAACTGGTCAGAACAAAAACAAAGAATCTTTGGCTGTGTTTGGAGAAGCAGAAGCTGTAACTGTTGCTTTGTTTGAATCTCTATTTAGCTTCATGTCTGGATCAAAGGCTTGTGGCAAATGGTCAATGGTCTCAAAGATGATGAGCCAGAACAAAGCTGCATGTGAAGCTGAAGTTAATGAGTTCACAAGAGTGGATTTAGAGTTCCAGTCAGAGAAGTCCTTGAAGATTGAAGATGTGCAGAACTTAGATTCATGCATTCAAGATCTTGAAGATGGGATTGAGTCACTCTCTAACTCATTGATTAAATACAGAGTCTCAATTCTTAACATGTAATAGGTCATTGTGCCCACAATTTTTTTTTGTACAAATAGGAGATGTAAATTGTTAACTAAATCGAAACTAAATCAAGAATCTTTTCATATGACTAAATTCTATCTTTTCTTCTTTAATTTCTCTACTTAAGAACACAATATCATATAATATGCCATCTCTGTTCTTCCACATGTTCTTCAATACTTGAAAAATTCTGCAACCATGTTAATTATGATTTAAATCTTATTCTAAACTCATTTCTTTTGCTTCTTCACATGCCTTAAATCAACTAATGCGGATCTTGTCCATATTTCATCATGCATCCATCCTTTAGAATACTTCTTAATTTATTGATTTTAAACTTTTATCTGTTTGTTTATATTTTATATTTACTCTTGTGTTACTCAGTTTTGCTCTGTTAAATAAACATATTAGGAATAATTGAATGTACACGAGAGACTCTGCATGTTATTGGCCTTGTTTAAAGGAAACTTCAGCACCATTCATGGATAGATATGCGCTCTCATAACCATATCAGTATTCCACTTCATGTCATTATCTGTAGTAGCCTTTAAAAATTTGGAGAAATCAGATTTTGTAATGTAGGAGGCAGACAAAATCTGTGTAAAACCAACAAAGTTAAAAAGATAATTAAGATGATGCACATGAATGCATCCACGAGACAAGCCTGGCTGGTTTTGCTGGCTTTATCTCACGAACATAATGAGAAGCTTCTTGATGCAGATTCGTGTAATATTCCCAAGGACACTTTGTTGCAGATGAAACAGGGTCTCATGCAGATCCAATCGATTCTATGAAGAAAGCCTCTCAAAACCTCATTCCAAGAAGTAGTCAAAAACTTGAAAGCCTCTACTAAAACAAACAGAACGAAAAGTCTTTGGCTGTGTTTGGAGAAGCATAAACTGTAACAGTTGTTGTGTTTCAAACTATGTTTAAGCTTCATGTCCGGATCAAAGGCTTGTGCCAAATGGTCATTGGTCTCAAAGCTGATGCAAACAAAACTACAATTGAAGCAGACGTGGTGGATTTGAGGTTTAAATCCGAGAATGTGCAGATCCTAGAGTCGTGTATTCAAGTTCTTGATGTTGGACTTGACTCACTATCAAAGTCTTTGATCAAATACAGTGTTAATTCTAAAATTCGCTGAACCTACAAAATTTTGTAGATAAAGAAAATGTGAATATCTCAATAAATGAGAATATAAAGATAATAATACAAACTTGCTCGCTACTTTGGGTCCTGATCAAACAACTCTATGTATATCATTACAAACAAACATTAACATTTTTTCCTCCCCCTATGGCTACATTACAACCCCAATCAACAATCACAACGACAAGAAAGAATCTCTTGAAGCTCAACAAACTTTACAAGAAGATGTAACACATGTATTGTCTCAAGAATCAAGATCCTTTGCCGCCTCGTTGTCTCTTCTCTTCAAGCTGAGCTGCTTCGTTCAACATATCAGCTGCGTCAGTGTTCATGTTCAGCTTCGCTAATGCCACAGACTGCATGTAGAAAGCCGTTGGCCAGTCAGGATAAACGCATTGCGCTTGCATGGCGTCGCGTAGTGCTGCGTCTGGTTGATCGCATAGCAAGTAGCATAGACTTCTCCGACCAAACACAGTTGGTGACACCATTGTTCCAACGTCTATGAACTGTACAAAAGCAAATGTATGTGTCCTTATATTATTCAAACTAAACATATAGGGTTTTTTTAACATACCTGTGAGTAGCAGTCTATGGCGGATTTGAAATCTTTATCGCGGAAAGCTTGATCCCCACGTTTCCGTGCGTCAAGCATGTCTTTCATCTGCTGTGTCCATTCTTGGAAAGATAACTGAAAACCATAGATAAAGAGTTAGCTTCTTTCACACGCAATGTTGTATCTGAATTCTGAAACCTAAACGGATCATATATATATTTACCTCATTGGTCCCTTCGTCGTCTCTATAATGAGTCATGACCAAGATCTGGTGAATAGCTGTGAGATCCATTCTCGAGCAAGCTTCACCTAATGGTGAAAGTGGCCTCTGTGGCGTTGAAGGTGCCTCTTCTTGCTTCTTTATTCCAAGCATTATACAAGAAGGAACCTGTAACCAAAATGTTTTATAACACACTTGAATTCAAGAAAATTCAAGAAGTCGATCACGATAACACGTACGTCTGGTTTAGTTTGCAAAGGTGCAAGTGTGGCGACGAGATCTTTTGTGTTAGGTCTCTCTCGAGGCTCATATTGCAAACACTGAGAGGCGAGTTCGACAACTACTGTAGCTTCTTCTGTTGAGAACTTTCCCTCAAGGTGTGAATCCATCAACTGGATGATATTCTTTCCACGTATCATATCCAGAGCCTAGAAGAAGGAGATACCGCTAAATTAGTATCAGAGAACCTATCCACATCATGACATTGACATCTTCCAAGAAGCAGCATCATAGAGTTTTCAGAAACTAAAATCATGACCAACCAGATAAGGGACTTACATGGCTTGGAGGGATGTGTTTCCCGCTAAGTAAATCAAGAAGCACAGTCCCAAAGCTGTAAGTAACACTTTCAGGTGTCACTCTTCCTACAACACATAAACAATTGACCACACTGAGGCTACTATGTAGATATACCTAAGCATTCGCATCTGATGCTGACTGTGATAATCTTAAGAAGAGATACACAAATTGATTTACCATTTCTTAGATACTCAGGTGGTGTATATGCTAGATTTGTGCTATAACTTTTACCATCCCGGCTGTTCTTCATCAAGCCAAAACACGAGAGACGAGGATCACCATCCTATAATATCCACTCAAAAACTCGCCTTAGATCAGAAGTAAGCATTAAAAATCTGGTAAGCCTGGAATAAATCTAGAGAAAGAGAATGATACCTCATCAAAGAGAACCCTGTAAGCATTTAAATCATGGTACAATGGACGGCCCTCACTACTACAATAATCCAAAGCTTCAGCAATGTGATATCCTACTCTCAACCGCATAGCCCATTCAATAGTCTGATTCTCCCCTGTGGATATCACCAAGAAAAACACAACATGATAAAAAATAAAAACTAAGCCTTTTAAGACATTCTACTTCACCTAAAGTACAAGGCTATAACATAAAACTCTTTGCAAGGCCCTGAACTCATCATATCCTAATAGGAAACAGAGAGAGAGAGTATCAATGATCATACAATGGAACAAATGCTTAGCGAGAGTATCATTAGGCATGAACTCAGCAACAAGAAGCCTCTCATCTCCATCACAACAATAACCAATCAAATTCGCCAACCGATTATGCCTCAGCTTCCCCACCCCCCATGCTTCTTCCTGAAAACATTGCAATATTCCATGAAAAAAAACAATCAAAATATTGATTTCTTCTTTTTTTTTCAGTACCGCGAACTGTTTAGGATGAGGCCAAGCCATCTTAGTAAACTTCTTGACGGCGATCCAACGACGGTTCTGAAGCCTGCCTTTGTAGACAACATTTGGGGCTTTCTCCCCGCTTTCTGATACGATGTTGTCTGAGCTGAAGTTGTTCGTGGCTGCTTTGAGGTCGGAGAAAGAGAACTCAGAGAAAGGCGGGATCCCTCCTCCAGCTCCGCCGTTATCGAGTCCAGCAGCCGTCGTAGCGCCGCCGCGGTGGGTTTGAGCCGGTTGTGGCGGCGGCTGAGCTCCATCTTCATCCGGACAAAGGGATTGACAACAACCCATGAAAGGAAAGGAAAGTTCCAATCTTTTTCTCACGAGTCGGAAAGTGTTTGTCTTTCGCTTCTTGTAAGAGAGAGAGAGAAGATATAATTAATGGAAATAAAATAAATTTAGTTTTGTCTTTTTGACTCCTGGGGTAAGTTTCTGAGACGTTGTTTCCTACTTGTCAATATGGTACCACTGCAATATAAAATAAAAAGTTTGATTTCTTTTTTTTTGTTGTAATTATAAGTTTAATAGTATATCATCAGTCAAAAAAAAGAAATTAGATTTTAGATTTTATAAGGTCAACTAAGTCTGCATTTAATTTTTTGGTGGGGTTTATAATTTGTATATGTTTAACCAATGGATTTGCAAATTAAAAAGCCAAAAATAACAGCACAAGTCAACTTCGTTTCTGTGTATACTATACTATATTACAATAAATTGATTCCTATGTTCATTGATAATGATATACACTTTGTGGTACCAAATAAGATTTTGGAAAATATCATTATCGCCAGCTCAAAGTGTTTTGTGATTGGAGTGACTTATCATCAACCTATTCCTACTTTCTGTCTCGTTTTTTTTTCGTTTTTCCCCATCTAGTTATCCTATGAAACCGTGTGATATTTCTGGATTATTGACGTGCCTTCTAATTAGAGTAATGTGAATATCAATTTTCTTTAAAAGGATTTGAACACACTGATATATTTTGAAAAGAACCTTACATTTTAATTAGAAGTTTACTTTTGAAACTAATGGGGAGAACTGGATATGGTTCTTTTTTTTGGATATGGTTATTTTGATGTATGCAAATGAAAAGTTTTTTCAATGTTTGTTTCCTTTTTTTTTTTTTGATCAAAGCAATGTTTGTTTCCTATAATTAGTTTTGGAGAGTGAAACAGAGAATCAAGCTTTTGAGGAAACAAGAGCTGTCTCTTTGTGTAGAAAAGGAAGAGAGTGAGGTGATCAAAAATTCTCTAATGTAATTGCCTTTTTTTATATGATTAGATGCTCAAGCACTATTTCTAATTTTTAATAAATACTAGGGTTGGGCGAAAGGGGAGTACTTGGTATTTTACGTGTATTTGATATTTGACTTGCCTTGAACGAGTAATAAAATTTCCAACTTGTATTTGACTTGTTAAAAACGAGTACTTGATCAAAAATCAGTTACTTGCAAGTTACTTGCTTCGTTTTATTACTTGCTACTTACGAGTACTTGTGAATTATTTACGTATATTTTTGTGAATATTTAAAAATTAATTACTAAATAATCATATACCAAAAAAAGACATGAAGGTTTACTTATTAATTTTACTAAAAAGAACATACAATTACTTTAACAAAAAAATTTATGCATATAATAAAGAACCGAGTTTAAACCGAGTAACGCGTATAATATCTTATTTAGTAATAAGTTGTCATGTTTATTATATTAATATTGGTATGAAACTAATATCAAATCAAGACAAGTATTATTTTGTAAGTAAGAAGTATTATTATCAAGTAACAAATATTTTGTAGAACAAGTAATGAGTATTTATAAAACGAATAATGATATTTTGATTCATGTCATGTCTTTGCAAGTAATAAAATTTATTGACTTATTATTCGATTTGGCAACACTGAGTAGTTGAATTTTCAAAGCGAGTACATATCAAGTAACGGATATAAGACGAGTATCGAGTAATGATGCCCATCCCTAATAAATACATATTGTATCGTTGGTTTGGATAATAACTCCTGCCACTTATTTTCTGCATGCTATATAATTCTTTTTTTCAATTTATTATTTAGCAAACAAACAAAAAGATTGACACACAAGATGTCAAGTTCACGCTAATCATGTTTGGCACGGCAACATTATGTCGTTAACAATTGGCGCAGAAACTAACTGAAAAAAAGGATGGACCATTGGGTGGGTTTAATTATTATTATAGCTTCACACTGTATCAATAGTGTTTTGATGCAGGTTGATGATTAGAATTAGATTGTAACTTCCATACAATGATCATGTCTTTATTCTTTTTTTTTTTTTGGTAAACAAAAAATATGGTTTCACCTCTTTGCCGGAAACTCAAACATTTTAAATAGTAATTCCTAATATGAATTGAACCCAAGTAGCGGAAGTTACAGCCGCAACCCCTTTACCACTAGGTAAACTCAAAGTTGGTTCATGTCTTTATTCTTATGCCGAATAACTGTTCTAGGCATGCATAATTTGCATATCATTAAACAAAAAATTTTCTTACAACGAAGAATAATTGAACAAAAACTAAAAGGTCACATATTAAATACTAACTTGGATATCTAACTTGGAATGGTGTTAGAAGGAAAAGTGCAGTCCATCTCCATGTATATTTCATTTGTATGTGCAGTCTTCCTGCACTAAATCACCATTCATCGTTTTTGATTTTAAAATGTAATTAGTGGAAGATCAACATTATGTTCAATATTTTTGGTGTGTGTTTCAGAAAGAAAAAAGAAGATGGATTGCATTCTCATCCATTATATATTTCGTGTTATTCATCCGTTTTTTTTTCTTTTCTTGGCCAATAAATAATTATATTATAAATGATTAATTTTAGAATACATTTATATGCTTTTATAAGTACAATATTTTCATCCTGTTTTAATGTATAACTAGCTTTTGACCCGCGCGTCCACGCAGGTGTATATTCTGTATAATTATATGTTTGTGTTAGTTGTAAAAATTATTCATATTTATGTTTTATAGGTTACTGAATTTTGATATCGGTGTATCTTGTTCATTTTGTTTAGTGTCTTTTTTTTTTAACTATCAGATGGTATTTTTTTATATTGAAATTTTTATTTGGTAAAGTAAACAATTAAATGTAAAATATTATAGGATCTTGTTCAAATTGTGTGTTTTATTAAACTATATTCTAAGTTTTTTGAATGATATTATTATTTAAAATTAGATTTTATAGATACAATAGAACCTCTATAAATTAATATTCGATAAATTAATATACACTAAATATCTCTATAAATTAATATAATTTTATAGTCTCAAATTGAGTTTTTTGTTCAATTAGTATATCTATAAATTAACATCTCTCTAAATTAATAAAAAAAATTTTTTGGTGTAATCCCAACATTATTAATTTATAGAGGTTTCACTGTATATAACCAATTTTATTTAAACTGTTTTTGCAATTCAAATTGTTATAAACTATTGAAAAAACTTGATTTGCATAATCTACCTCATCCCACATAGTCTACTTGATCTACATTTATTTCTTTTGATCTATATGATCTGCACCACTTGCAGTGGTCGAGCCAACATGTTAACAAGAAGGTCAAATGACCCAGGTCAATTCTTAAAATAAAATTACTCTTATTTTGTTTTTTGAAAACGGGGAAAATATAGCAAACTTTAGATTATTGACCTTTATAGTATATGTTGTTTCAAAATTGACCCTTTAAAGATTTTTTTTTTTGGTTCGACCACCGCTTGGACTGTTTTTACCATTTGAAACCTAAGCTAATCTGGTTTCTGCAAATAGTTTCAATAAAATAACGAGATCGAAAGAAAGAGAGATGTGCCTGAGCTACCTTCGAATTCTACAAATGTAAATTCTGAAAATCATCAAAAGTTTAGTCCTAAACGTCTAATGTACACTGCTTAAATAGAAAAAAAATATTAGAACTCAACTAATATATGCAACATGCGTCATATGTGGTTTATGTTAACCATCGAGTTCAAAGCCATTTGCACTAAAACCACATCTTTTGACCAAGAATTTGCCGTCACTTTACAAGGTTTCTGCCTCCTCGTAGATCATCATCATCCTCATGGGGGACTCTTCTTGCATGAGTCTATGAATGAAGACACAGATGATTCTGGTTGGTTCCATGATAATAGGAGTTTTTAAGATCCTATTCAAATGTTATAGTATAAAAGATATCGAACCAAATCTAAGCAATCATAAACCAGTGGGACTACAAGACAAAGCTTAACCTAAGTGCTATCAATATTAAAATGGTTTTGTTTTTAAAGTAAGAGAAAACTAAATAAGCAATAAAGATCAAGCTTTCTTTCAAAATGAGAATGTNCATTTGCAAAGATAACTCAAACATCTAATCTCTTAGGTTGAATGTTATCTAAACAATCATTAAGACCTAGTCTATTAACCATTCAAACAACTTTAACATCAAATCTCTTTGGTAAAGATTGTTAGAAGCAATGAAGAGTTGGTTCAGGTATTTCATCAAACACCTTGTGGGCTTGAAATACCTAAAGATCAATTCTAGAAAGGCCAACTCTAAAATAGCATTAAGATCACCCAACAAGCAAGGAAATAGATGGATCTATACTCTAACACCCTAGATCTAGCTTAACCCCCCTTTGATCTCCCTAACCCATGAATCCAAAGATGTCTACTCACTAATAACCATGATCACACTTAAACCTATGAAGGATTCAAGGTAAATCATGATTAGAAAGCAAAGAAACACTTAAATGATCTCAAGAACACAAGATAAAAGATGAAATCTTAGATCCAAGGAATAAACTTTCACCAAAGTATCAAGTGTTTAGGAGAGAAAACAAGATAAGATCTCTAAAAACGTGCTTAAAGGTATTTATATGGTACTTAAAAACGCTAATGGGCTTAACTCATAGGTTAATTAGGCCCAAAATAAGACATAAACTCGAGTGTGAATAGTACTGGAGCGACCCCCAGACCCCGGGTGAGACCCCGCGCTGGTGCCCGCTTGAGCTGGAGCGACCTCCCAAGGTCGGTGCGTGACCTCGCTCCAGCACTTGCTCTATGTGATCTCCGGATGTCCTGTTCAGAGCGGGGTACATAAGTCGGGTGAGACCCCGCGCTGGAGCTCGTTCGACTTGGAGCGACCTCCCAAGGTCGCTGTAAGAACCCGCGGTGNNNCCAAACTCGCATGTTGATCATTTCGCCCTTTCTTGAACCAAAACCACTCCAAACTCCCTTAAAAGCTTCTTGAGGTACTCCATCACCTAATGTAAACAAATGCAAATGGATATGCAACCTAAAAATGCCTTTATGCAATCCTAAACTCTAATATGCATAAGAAATGGCTAGTTAATTCAATGAAAATCACAAGATATCATTCCACCATTGCAAGATCAGCAAAAAGCTTGATCATGGCATTCATCACTAGTATCACTTTGGTAAACAACGCTCCCAGATACCAAAAGGTTAATTACCATGTTCTTTTCCAGTACTGCTTGAATCTCCCTGTGTATCCTCTGCGCTTCCCGGTCCATGTTCCTAACTTTCTCCTTCTCCATCAATGTCGTCTCTAACCGATCTTGCTCCCAAAGCTGAAGTGGTGAAGCTACGCATTGCCTCAATAACTTCCTTCTCAGAGATCCTGTCCAGAGCTTGAGACCATTATTTACATATCACAAAGATTGGTGGAGCTCCAATCCAACTAGGCGAAAAAGGAGTGATACCATCAGGTGTTTCCTCAGGTTCATAGAGACGACACCTCATGAGCCATTTATTCAACTCTTTTACCTAACCTTTCTGCGAGTTAACCCAGCTAGAGAGTCCTAGGATCCAGTCAATAAGCTCATGTCCAAGCAAACTAGTGGCCTCTAGTCTCTAGATATTCATCACCTAGTTTCTTGCTAGCTCTTATAGACACTAACCCTCGCGCTTCCCTAATTTCCTGATACTGAATCTGATGAGACTCAAGCATCAATTTCCACATTCTTTTAAGCCTGAGAAGAAACCGAACACATAAACAACATCTCCAAACGCAAAAATCTTAAACATAAACATTTGAAGACAAATTTTTTATTAGACACAAAGTATCCCACATTGGAAATTGTAAGGAATATTAACTAATATATAAGATAGATAGACCAATCCACTTATCACCAATTGGTTTTAGGTTGGACGCCCATCTACCTTAGTATGGTATCAGAGCTCTCGATCTGGCCCAAAGATCCTCATCGATCTGGCCCAAAGATGGTCCATCGATCCAGATTGACGCCAAAGAGCCATCATCTCGAGGGGGCGTATTAGACACAAAGTATCCCACATCGGAAGTTGGAATGAATATTAATAGTATATAAGATAGATGGGCCAATCCACTTATCACCAATTAATTTTAGGTTGGACGCTCATCTACCTTAATAGTTTTTACCCATGGATCAATGCATTCAGTTGCGGCCATAGGTCTTCATCTCTTGTTAATAATTGTCACAAAGATTTTATCCACAGTGTTAGGGTGGGCTTTGTACACCTATCAATACCTGACCCGATTTTAGGAAAAACCCACTAAATTCGAAGGTTCAAAGACAAAGGGGAGCCTAGATCCTTAGAAGGCAAAAGTGTATAATGAAAGCAAGGTGACGAGCTCGTGCCCATGCTCAAGGAAGAACATGTTGAATCCTTCAGTAAGTATGGATGATGCAATATGGACCACATTTAGTAGCTTGGGACGAATAAAATACTTCCGCGTTGCAGGGAATATTTGACCTCACTTGACATAGTCAAATATGTGACCTCATCAGAAAGGATGATGAGCAATCTCTCATCTCATTTGGACCATCCCGTGACTATAAAAGAAGAGCCTTGTTGAACGGGTAAAGGACCGACTTTTCTTCGAAGATCTCTTAAGAGAGATTTTAGAGATATACACTTAGTGGCCTTAATTCTTATTGTATAGAAAACTTGATAGATGTCGCATTTGTAATCTCTTTTCCGATCCCAATTTACTTCTAATAAAAACATTATTTCCGACATGCTTTGTCCCTAAATCATTTATAAATCATCAATTAAATTATATGGCGCCGTTTGTGGGGACAAATCATGAATCTCTCTACACAAAGAAGTATCTCAAAACAATGGAGTCAACATGTGTGAACCAAGAAGTTGAGATGGAAAAAATATTGAACCAAGATCTGCCGACAGACGACCCTGCAGCAGCCACCATGAAACACCATACTGCCATCAGAACTGGACAAGGCAAGCAGAAAACCGAGAACGTTCATGCATCTTGCGTAGGGATGTTAATATGGGTAATTACCCATGGGTTTACCCAAACCCATTGATAATGGGTTGTGTTTTTACCCATCTAAAACTAATTGGGTTAAACATGGGTATAAAATTTTAAAACCCATATTAGATTGGGTAAATACAAGGGGGTAATGAATACCCATGGGTACCCATGGGTTTTAATATCTTTTCTTTTAATGTTTTAAATAAACCATAATTTTATTTTTTCTATCCAAACTTAAAAAATGAATTTATCCGTCAGAACTGTAAAACGAGTTTTTTTCGCCAAAATCGGAAAATTGACTTTTCTTGCAAAACCGGAAAAATGTGTTTTCCCGCCAAAACCGGAAAAAATGTTTTCCCGCCAAAACCGCAAAAACGTGATTTCCCATCAAAATCGCAAAAACGAGTTTTCCCGCCTAAACCGCAAAAACGTGTTTTTCCGCCAAAACCGCAAAAACGTGTTTTCCCGCCAAAACCGCAAAAACGAGTTTTCCTGCCAAAACCGCAAAAACGTGTTTTCCCGCCAAAATCGAAAAACGTGTTTTCCCGTCAAAACCGTAAAAACGAGTTTTCCCGCCAAAACCGCAAAAACGTGTTTTCTCGCCAAAATCGAAAAACGTGTTTTCCCGCCAAAACCGCAAAAACGTGTTTTCCCGCCAAAATCGAAAAAACGTGATTTCCCGTCAAAACCGCAAAAACGTGTTTTCCCGTCAAAACCGCAAAAACGTGATTTCCCGTCAAAACCGCAAAAACGTGTTTTTCCGCCAAAATCGAAAAACGTGATTTCCCGTCAAAACCGCAAAAACGTGTTTTCCCGCCTAAACCGCAAAAACGTGTTTTCCCG